GAGAGAGAGAGAGAGAGAGAGAGAGAGAGAGAGAGAGAGAGAGAGAAATGAAAGTCTCCACCATGTAAAAAAAAATGTTGAGACTCTGGAAATAGTGCAGAGAAGAGCAACCAGGAGGATTAGGGGACTTGGAGGCTAAAACACACAAAGAACGGTTGCAGGAACTGGGCCTGGCTAGTCTGGAGACGAGAAGGACCAGGGGAGACAGGAGAGCAGCCTTCCAATATTGGAGGGGCTGCCCCAGAGAGGAGTCAGTCCACCTATTCTCCAAAGCATCAAAGAAGGCAGGACAAGAAGCAAAAGATAGAATCTGAGCAAGGAGAGAAGCAACTCAGGAGGAATTTCCTGGTCGTGAGAACAAGGAACCGGTGGAACGACTTGCCTTCAGAGGTTGTGAACACTCCGACATTGGAGGTTTTTAAGAAGAGACGGGACAGCCATTTATCTGAAATGAAATAGTGTCTCCTGCCTGAGCAGGGGGCTGGACTAGAAGACCTCCAAGGTCCCTTCCAACTGTGTTATCCTGTCGAAGTAAGGGAGGGAGGAAGGGAGCAAGATTGGGCCCCATGTTGGCACTCTTTTGCCACGCCCTGAAGGCCTGGTTGGGCCAGCATGCCTGGCAACCCCAGGATGGGTTGGAGCCCATCAAGTGGCTCTTTTGACTGACTGTTGTCAGCAGGAGAGCGGACGTTTAATGATTTCTATTTTTATATTTGGTTTTTTATCTTCGTAAGCTGCCTGGAGTCACTCAGGGTGACTTGGGCAGCCATATAAATTTTCTTAAAAATTGGGGAACATGATAACAGCGTCCCCATATTTGAGGGGCTGCCACAAAGAAGAGGGAGGGGGTTAACCTATTCTCCAACTGGAATAAGATAAGCAACAGGTGGAAACTGATCAAGGGGAGAAGCAACCTGAAATTAAGGAGAAACTTCCCAACAGGGAGGACAATTGACCAGTGGAACTGCTTGCCACTAGAAGTTGTGGGTCTTGCATCACTGGAGACTTGGAAGAAGAGACTGGACAGCCATTAGTCTGGAATGGTGTTGGCTTTTCTGCCTTGGGAAGAGGGTTGGGCTAGATGACTTCCAAGGTCCCTTCCAATCTTGTTATTCTGCAATTCTACATTTTTGGGAAGGGTTGGGGGCAGGTGCTGACGCTGACCAATCCATTACTCCACCCATCCATCTCAATCCTGTCTTTTCCCCAGTCTCCAAGGGATGGCCCTGCAATAATTTTGCAGCAGGAAACAACTTCCCGATGCAGAAGTCCAGGCATAGACAAAAGACTTATTGCAGTGCATCTGTAAACAGGTTTCCAAAGGCACAACGACAACTGCTTAATTGCACAACCCAGGCAAGGGTGGGATCCAACCGGTAGAGCAACTGGTTCGGTGAGCGTGCGCTTTGTACGCACGCAATGCTTTCAAGCTCACCTTCTGCTGTGTGTTAAACAGATGACACGTGGTATTGTGTGAATCAGCTGTGCTGGAAAATGTGGATATAAAGCACCAACTAGATCCTGGTGGGCGGGCGGGCTCAACAGTTTGATAATCAGAGGGAAGTGGTTCGCTCGAACCAGGCCAAAGTGGTAGAATCCCACCGCTGAACCCAGGGACACAAACTGCGAGCAACCTAGAACAAGCTAAGTCCCCAAAGGCCAGAGAATTTCTGGAAGGCTTTGCTGGCTGAGGATCTGTGGGAGTTGAAGTCCACAAGTCTTAAAGTGGCCAAGGTTTGACCCTTACTTGTCAGGTGCCTGCACAACTGTGCTAACACGCCACCCATTTGGCACACAAAGCGAAGCTCGCTCAGATGTCGGAGCCAAATTCACCGTCAGCCCCATGGACACCCTGAGCCACATCTCTCTCCTTTGCCTCTCCTGTCCACCCCACCCCATCCTGAGGATGATGGACGAACAAGCCCGACGGTCATCTATTCAAGTCCCTCCTGTGGGAAGAGGGTATGAATGTATGTAATTGTGTTAGAGATACCGTACGTGGAAATCCTGGCGTCAACTAACCCAAAGTTACTGATTAAGAGCCTCCAAAATCCTTTAAACTGACTGAAACATGAGAACTAAACCCTGATTTCAAATTATAAACCCACATAAGCAAACACACGAAAGTCAATTAGCACAGGGTAAACATAATTATAATACTCACAGTTGAAACCAAGAGACTGGATCCATTTCTCTTCACTTAATTAAACCCTTCTCTGGCTCAACATGTACCTACTTCCACAGCCCTCAAGGGTCACCCCAGAACCGGCACGTGAAGTACCCAATTCCACTCCACCTCAAGACCCACCCAAAGGACAAGCTCCCCTATGCAACCATCTCTCTGTAACCCCTTTTTTTTTCAGCTGACCCCCCCTGGGCAAATCTCTTTGCTTTGGGGAATAAATAGTGGTGGGATTCAAACTTGGTTCCTGCTGCTTCTATGAAAGAGCACTCTGCATGTGCACCTAATGCACTGTTTGCAGGTGCTTGCAGTGCTCAAAAAACGCCCTCTGTGTCGGCGCTGGTGAGCTGAGATGGTGTTTTTTTAGCTCACCCCTCAAATTTTCCGCTACCGGTACATCCGAACCGGTTGAATACCACCCCTGGGAAGAAATATTCCTCCTTTCCTAAAAGCTGTCTGGATTTCAATTGGATTTATTCCTGCGCCATCCCCAGCTGGAGTTGGAACCTCGTATGATCCATCTGACGCTACCTGCGTTGGGCTGCAGGTTGACATTCAACAGGTCCTTGTAGCCGCATTCGGGGCCCAATTCCCCATTGTAGCTGGCAGTCGCGGCCGAAATCTTCAGCCGGCAGAGCCGCTCCTCGGGGGTGTTGTTGTTGACGACCACAAAGATGTCGAAGTCGCACCCGTTGTTCATCCCCTCAGAAGCCTTGATCCTGAGGGACAAACCTTCCTCTTGTGGGGTCTGGATCTTCTCATGCTTCGCCTTCTCGAAAGAGGCTTTCTCCTCCTCCGAATCTGCAGCCAAAACAGGAGCAAGGAAAACTGGGAAATGTCCTTTTTTTGGGGGGGGGTTTCCCTCAGGGGTGGGCTTCAGCGGTGGGGGATGCTACCGGTTCGGCTGGTAGCGGCGATGAGCAGTGGAAACCGAAAGAGTTCTCTCTGCCACTCTGGTGTTTGGCCCACCTGCCCACCCAGGCTCACCTTTATTCGCTGCTTTTTGAAGCGTAGCTGCATTTCCGCGGCACAGCCGAGTGCCGCGCGGCAGCTGCTGAAGTGACCGGGAGAGTGCAGGCTTGCAGGAGGGGAGTTGGAACACCTCTGCCCCGAGCAAAGTGTGCGTTTGGCACAGGCAAAGTGTGTGCACACGCACAAAGGACGCCCACCAAGCCGCCCCCCTCACTGAACCAGTGGTAAAAGTTTTGGAATCCCACCACAGGTGGCCTTCGAAAATTTTAGCAACTGGTTCTCTGCTGGGTTGCTGGGTGGGCGTGGCCGTGGTGGGTGGGGCCTAATCGGACTCCTGCACTTGGACAGGGGGGGGGGCATTTTCACCTTCCCTGCGCTCCGAGGCTTTCCTCAAGCGTCCAGGAGGGCAGAAACGGGCCCATCTCTGGCCTCCTGGAACCCCTTTTTCGTCTTCCTGTGGGCCCTGCACTTACCTGGCATCCAAAACAGGCCGCATGGAGACTTCTGGGAGGGATGGAACAGGGTGGGGTGTGGCGTGCAGGGCCAGCCAGAGGGTTGGGATTTGCCCATTTGTCGAACCGACCATAAAATGACCTACTTCTTTGCTTGAAGCAGGGCGAAGCGGTTGCAGCCCACCCCTGGGGTACCCAGAGGGCAGCTCCTCTCCCTCCACCTGCGTCAGAGGAACGCTGCCCAAACCCAACTGACTTCTAAAGAGGTTGTTTTCTTGCTGATGTTCCCTTGCTCAAAATTATATCCAGGTAGTCCTTGACTTACAAAGGTCATAAATTCGTTCCTGTGGATGTGGGGAGCCCACTTCAGGATCGGCGTGAGTTATGACGTAATTCCAGGCTCAACTACGGTGGCCTTTCCTGCCGGGATGAGCTCAAGGGTGCCCACCCGATTTTCCCCATGGCCCCTCCGAGTACCTTCGCGATGCTTGTAGGTGTGCGTGATGTCCTCTTTGGTGTCCTTCCCCACACTCTTGGTGCTGATCTTCTTGCCCACCAGGTTGGGGTGCAGGGTCTTCTTCCGGGACATGTCGCTCTGGAGCATCAGGAAGGCAACATCGGCGTTCACCTCGGCAAACACAAACTTCGCATCGTACTTGAAATCCAGCTGTCCATCCTTGACAGCTTTCACTGGAATTGGCCCGCAGCAGTAGACTCCTGAGAAAGGAGCGCATAGAACATAGCAGGACAGAGTTGAAAGGGAACTTGGAGGTCTGCTATTCCAACCCCCTCCTGGAGCAGGAGACCCTATCCCATTCTGGACAAATGGCCGCCCAGTCTCTCCTTAAAAACCTCCAGTGATGGAGCGGCCACAATTTCTGGAGGCAAGTGTCAGGGTTCCAGCCGTTACCCGCAATGAAATCATGAGTCTCGAGCCAAACTTCCAAAACTTCGAGAGGATTTATTGGGAGTTAATATGTCCGGAACTGCCTGGGTTTAGCCGACTCTGAGACACATCATTCACTGTCACCCTTGACTCTGGTTTCCCCCTCTACCCCCTGGGTGTATCATAATTCATATTCTCCAATGGGACACCTCCATAGCCCAGAGTCCTCAATCATGCTCTCCGGTTAGAATTTTGCACAGCAGAAACTTCAGTCGCCTAGTTACTATCTTTGAAAACATTTGTGGAATGCACTTTCGGTTTGCAAGCTGCTGCACTGCTCCCCCTCCCTCCCTTTCTCTTGGCAACTCTAAAAAGACCATAGAAATATTTTATGAATTGACAGCAAGCAGTTCCACTGGTTAATTGTCCTCACTGTTAGGAAGTTTCTCCTTAATTCCAGGTTGCTTCTCTCCTTGATCAGTTTCCATCCCTTGTTTCTTGACCTGCCTTCAGGGGCTTTGGAGAATAGATGGACCCCTTCTTCTTCTTCTTTTTTTTAAATAAAGTTTTATTTGGGTTTTCACACATACAAAATACAAGTAAAACATCTTTTTTGAAAATAGCATGGTCCCGGCCGGGTTGAACTTCTTTATACAGACACAAAACTCAATTTCATGCTCCTTTTTGTGTTCTATTCCATATCTTATACTATTCTACATTTTCTATATAGTTTTTCCCCTCTTTTAATTTTCTCAATTTTATTTTGATTATCTCATCTCAATTCAAATAATTATATTTATACTTTTGTCCATTCTGTTTCAATTTCATATTATCTTTTCACATTTTAATCATACATTGTTTCATATTTTCTAAAGTTATTTCTATTTCTAATATAACAATAATATCTTATGTACCTTTGCAGAATCCCTTTTTCCATTAAGTTTTCACCCATTATCTCTAAATAGGCCCTGTTTCTCTATATTTTGTTTCTGTCCTTTATAACTTCTTTTCCTTTCTTCCCTCTCATCTTCTCCCTCCCCTTTTTACCCCCTTGTCTCTCTACTTCTAATTCTCTCTTCTGCATTTCCCTCTTCTGTTGCTTTCTGATTTTATACTTATTTTTCACTCTATTTTTTGGGGGGGAGTTGTTTTTCCCAATCTTAAACTTTCCGTTCTCTTTCCCCCTTTTCCTTTTTTCCCCCCATCTAAGATTACTTGTTCATTAAAGATGGCTTCTTCTTTGTCGCAATCTTCTTGTTCTGCAGGCATTTCTTGTTGTCTCTCATAATTCCAAATCTCCATTTCTAAAAACTGAAATACGAAGCCAAAAGAACCGCTCCCTTCTTGTGCATCTTCTTTGTACTTTTTAAGTTCCATTTTCAGTTCTTCTAAAAGTGGAGCCATTTTAAACAGTTTTAAACAACCACCCGATTGATTTTAGTCATTCAAATACAATAACCAAAAATCCAGAAATCATCAAGTAATCCAAATAGTCCCGAGTTATTTCTTCTTATTTCTTTTTCCACTTTCTCTTGCTGGGGTTTTTCTTGTGATATTTCAGTTAAAATGTATCTTTTGGAAGTCTTGTTGAGATTTTGCTGTGTTCTTTTTAATTCCAGGCCATCTCCTCCCTTCCAGATCCTGCCCTTTTATCCTTTTTCTCTCCTTTCCTGTTTTCAAAAGCTTTTGATTATCCAGAAATCTTTATTATCCCTTTGACTTTTTATTTTCTGCATTAAATGCCTATTGATGTCAAAGTGGATTTTTTTCCAATTTCTTGCTTAAGTCTCTTAGCTGTCAGTATAGGAAAAGGAGAAAAAAACCCCAAATCTTTCCCCTTTTCTCTCTCCTTCGCAGCTTAAAAATCTTCTTAGGGAACAATGTTATTGTTTTTTTTAATAGTTTCAATTCCAGGGTACCTTATTTGTTGCTTTTGCTGTTTGACCCGGTCAACCAAAACTTTCTTTTCTTATCTTCCTCCTGCACATTCTTTCCTGGTCGAGTTCTTCTTTGTGGTGGCCATTTCTGACCACCGCTGCAACCGCCTTTGGGAAAGGGAGTAATGGCCAGCAGGGGAGGAGAGATGCGGCTCTTCTCAACCCTGCAGGCAGTCTCCCCCCTCTTCACCACCTCTGCATGGTGGCTTAGCCCCGAAACCAGCTGGCTTGGGGCGCTCCAGCGGCGAGCACGGATCGAAGCCTTGCAGAGACGAGGCTTCGGTCTGTCGCCGAAGAAGCTCAAACCGGAAGTCCAGATGGACCCCTTCTTCTTTGTGGCATCCCTTGAGATATTGGAACACTGCTATCATGTCACCATACTATAAAAAAGATGCTGAGACTCTGGAAAGAGTGCAGAGAAGAGCAACCAGGATGATGAGGGGACCAGAGGATGAAACATACGATGAACAGTTGCAGGAACTGGGCCTGGCTACTCTGGGGAAGGGAAGGATCAGGGGAGACAGGAGAGAAGTCTTCCAATAGTTGAGGGGCTACCCCAGAGAGGAGGGGGGGTCAAGCTATTTTCCAAGGCACCCGAAGGCCAGACAAGGAATAATGGATGGAAACTGATCAAGGAGAGATTCAACTTGGAAATAAGTAGAAATTTTCTGACAGTGAGAACAATCAACCAGTGGAACAGAAGTTGCCTTCGGAAGTTGTGGGAGCTTCATTCCTGGAGGCTTTCAAGAAGAAACTGGACTGCCCTCTGTCACAAATGGTGTAGGGTCTCCTGCTTAGGTGGAGGGTTGGACTGGATGACCTTCAAGGTCCTTTCCAACTCTTGTTATTCTGCTATTCTTTTTTTTCATTAAACGAGACATGCTCAATTCCTGAAACCATTCTTTGTATGTTTGAGCCTCCGGTCCCCTGATCATCCTGGTTGCTCTACTCTGCACTCTTTCCAGAGTCTCAGTGTCTTGTTTTGTTTGCATCACTGCTGAATGCAGCATTCCAAGGGTGGACTTACAAATGTGGGCTTGGGAGCAGGCAACAGTCTGTCCATCCCATATCCTCCCTTAGCCTTTAGGAGAGACCTGGAAGCACGATCTTTCCGTGGCTTACCTTCACTCTTTTCCTGTGGAGTTGGGTCCAAGGCTTGCCAGCCGTCATAGCCGCTAGGAAGGTCTGGACGGGTCATCCAAGATTCCACCCAGCAGTGATAATTCCTGGGTCAAGAGGGGAAGGAGAGACCAAGAGAGGGAGAAAGAATGATTGAGGAGATCCAGGAATAGCCTCCTCCTCCTCCTCCTCCTCCTCCTCCTCCTCCTCCTCCTCCTCCACATTCCTTCTGAGGTTATCCAGGGTGGAAATGTCCACCAGTGATAAGAGGCCTGGATTCCTTGCATGTTCTCCATCATCTACAGAACAAGGTGTTCCCATTGGAAATATCAAAGAAAAGGCCAGAAAGTACGCTGCCTCCTCCTCCTGGTATCCATAAAGACAAAGTAGAAATGGTGGTAGACTTCAGGAGAAACCCTCCCCTACTACCACTTCTTACAATACTAGACAACACAGTATCACACCTTCAAATGTCTAGGTTCCATCATATCACAAGACCTAAAATGGACACCTAACATCAAAAACATCATCAAAAAAGCCCAACAAAGAATGTTCTCTCTGCGCCAACTCAGGAAGCTCAAACTGCCCAAGGAGCTGCTGATCCAGTTCTACAGAGGAATGATGGAGTCTGTCATCTGCATCTCTATAACTGTCTGGTTGGGTTCTGCAACCCGACAGGACAGACACAGACTCCAGAGAGGAATTAGGACTGCAGAAAAAACAATTACTACCCACCTGCCTTCCATGGAGGACCTGTATACTGCACGAGTCAAAAAGAGGGCTGTGAAAATATTTACAGACCCCTCACATCCCGGACATAAACTGTTTCAACTCCCACTCTCAAAACGACGCTATAGAGCCCTGCACACCAGAACAACTAGACACAAGGACAGTTTTCCCCCCCAATGCCATCACTCTGCTAAACAAATCAACACTGTCCAACTATTTACAAAGTTTGCATTACTATTACTATTAATCTTCTCATCACTCCTTATCACCCATCCCCTCCCACTTGTGACTGTATGACTGCAATTTTGTGGCTAGTATCCTTACGATTTATATGGACTGTTTGATTGCTTATTGTACCCTATGACTATCATTAAGTGTTGGACCTTGTGATTCTTGACTCTTGACAAATGTATCTTTTCTTTTATGTACACTGAGAGCATTTGCACCAAAGACAAATTCCTTGTGTGTCCAGTCACACTTGGTCAATAAAGAATTCCTATTCTATTCTAAAGACATAATAATAATAATAATAATAATAATAATAATAATAATAATAATAATAATAATAATAATAATAATAATAATAATAATACCAAGCCTTGAGAACAAATGCATACAAAACCATAATTGAGAAGACAGCAACAGAGAGCAAATACTGTCTCTGCAAAGAAGGAGAAGGAACATGGACAGCATGGTTAGCAGCTGCAGGAAGATCACCCAGACTGACTACAAGCAATGGCACGACAAAGTAGCAACAATGGTGTACTGGAAGATCTGCAAGAAATACCCTTTGCCTGCAAGCGAGAACTGCTGGGATTATAAAATAGAGAAAGTTGTTGAAAAATGAAGACTTCAGACAGGCACCTGCCACGTAACACCCCAGACGTAACAATTGTTGATAAGAAACACAAAAAAATGTCTGGATAGTGGACATGGCAGGACCTGGAAATTGCAGAGTAGAAGGGAAAGAGTTGGAGAAGATCACAATATACAAAGACCCACAAATGGAAACAGAACAACAAAGAAAACAAAAGGAAGTCTCAAAAGTGATAGGTGCCGTAATAGAACCATAACAACAACAACAGTAAGAAGAATAATAATACCATCGCCATTGTCCAAATCACCATCAGTCAATTGCAAAAGGCAGCTTGACCTGGAACAGCTCACATCCTGTGATATTACATGTAACCCTGTCAGACAGCCATACCTGTCTTTCCCACGGCGTCAATGTTTGGACAAAAATGACAAATCCGGTCTGAACAGCTGGCTGACTGTGCAATCAAGCCTAATAATAACCACGATCTTAAATTGCACCATTTGGGAGGAGGTGGAGGTAGCGGCCATGCAGAAGCTCCAGATTATCCTAGTTAAGAAAGAGCCTTCGCCTCCTTTTGCGATTGGAGAAGTCCCAGGTTCTCACCTGGCTTCTGCCAGGACGCTTGAGATCCCAATTGAGATGGTCAATGATCCAATGGAAGCCAACAGGATCAAAGGCGCTGGAGGGGTGGAAGGCAGTCCTGGCGCCTCCCATGCCCCATGAGGTCATTCTGCCCATGACAGAAGTCACAGGAGGATCTGGGCAGGATGACCACAATGCGTGAATCTCTTCCCTATTTCCCAACTCTTAGTTATGGACTCCAGACCAGCTACGCTGATACAGATTGGTTAATTTGTATTAGAGTTGGAAGGGATCTTATAGGTCATCTAGTCCAACCCACTGCCCAAGCAGACCCTACACCATTTCAGACAGATGGCAGTCCAGTGTCTTCTTGAAAGCTTCTAGTGATGAAGCTCCCACAACTTCTGAAGGCAACTTCTATTCCATGGGTTGATTGCTCTCATTATTAGAAAATTCCTCCTTATTTCTAGGTTGCTTCTCTCCTTGGTTAACTTCTGTCTGTTGCTTCTTGTCCTGCCTTCAGGTGCTTTGGAAAAGAGCTTGACCCCCTTCCTCCTCTCTGGGGCAGCCCCTCAAATATTGGAAGATGCTCTCCTGTCTCCCCTGGTCCTTCTCTTCCCTAGACTAGCCAGGCCCAGTTCTTGCAACTGTTCATCATCATATGTTTTAGCCTCCAGTCCCCTCATCATCTTTACTCATATTTATGATGGTTGTTGTGTCCTAGGGACATGTCTGTGATCTTCTGTCCATGGGGAAGCCAGATTCACTTAACAACCACGTGACTAAATGAACAACAGCGGTGATTCACTTAACAACGGCGGTGAGAAAGGTAGAAAAGTGGGACAAACCTTGCTTGCAAATTTCACTTAAAAACTGTCTTGCTTGCTTGGGCTCCATTGCTGTTGTAAGTCAAGGACTGTTTATAAAGAAACAAATAAACTCTGGGGTTTGTCCTTTGAGCAGGGGCCTCCCACCTTGGCCACTTTAAGACTTGTGGACTTCAACTCCCAGAATTCCTCATCCAGCACAGCTTAAACTCTCTTGCAATCCCTTCCTCTGCAACCTCTCCTCTTTGGGAGATAGGAGAAAAAGAAACAGACACGGCTGGCTGAGGAATTCTGGGGGTTGAAGTCCACCAGGCTTAAAGTGGCCAAGGTGGGAGGCCCCTGCCCTAAGAGGACCTCAGAGCCAGGTGGGCCTCCCTTGGGGATATATATATCCAAATTCTCTGCTTTGCCTGAGGCTTCTGGTTTTATAAAAACAAATATAAGAAGCAACAATTTCCGAGAAGCCCTGAAACTTCCTTAGAAGGGTGAAGGTCATTCCGGGGTAAAAGAAGCGTCATGCTGGCCAAATGCATTTTGGGGAAGAGAAAAAGGGCAAAAACCTAATCAATAAATAACTAGGCGAATTAAAAACAGAGCCTCCTCCATGGCTTAGGGAGGGAACGGCAAACCCTCCCTGGCTCTTGCACAACCTGCATGAAAGAGAAATGAAAAAAGATGGACTGGGAGACTAGCAATCAGACCTCTGGGGGGGGTGGATTAATTAATGCTTTTCTGCAAATCCGACCGGGGTTGGCCATTGACCGGAGGGCCGTGTTTGCTTGGGGGTTGAGCAAACAGAGTGCTGAATTCAAGGCTGCAGCTGCAACACTTTGGGGGGAGGAGGAGGAGGAGGAGGAAGAAGAAAAGGGAGAGAGGAAGTGAGCAGAGGGAGGGGGGGAAACGGGGTGTGTGTGGTTGGGTGTCCCGGGGCTGAGTCACCCCGCCTCGTCTCGTCTCGCCTGCAGTGCAGACAGGATGGAGGGAGCTGCACGGGCCAGCCCAGCAGCTTCGTGTCCTGAAATGCGGGGGCAGCTTGTAAGGCTGGCTTCCTGCAGAAAAGGATGAGTCTTAGGACTGAGAATGATTGGGGTGTGTGTGTGTGTTGGTCTGTGGTAGCCGAAGGTGTGAGTGTTTGCTAACCAATCAAAATATTGGGGGTCCCCGGTGCTCTCTGAGCTGGGTTGTTTCCTTGCAGACATTTCGTGACCCAATTAGGGCACATCATCAGTGCTAGAAGGGAGTCAAGAGGAGGAGGAGGGAAGGAAGGAAAGAAGGAAGGGGGGGAGGGGAGAGAGGAGGAGGAAGAGGAAAAGGGGGAGGAGATAGAGGAGGACTGTGGGGTCCTTGTTGCTCATACCCTTTTATCTTTCTTGGTGATTTCAATCTACCTCATATTGACTGGACCCTAAATGATTGTACAACTGAAATCATACACACAACCTTCTACAATGCTATTACAAATCTGGGACTGGAACAACTAGTAACCAACAACACTAGACTAAACAACTGCCTCGATCTCATCTTCTGCAATAGTTTGAATTTAATTTACGGAATACAAACTAAAGAACCCTTTTCCAGCAGTGACCACAATATGATTGACTTTTGTCTCAACATACGCCCACACAAAAATCACCACAATGATGTAATTCCCAATTGTAACTTCAAAAAAGGCAACTATGATCTTATACACAACGATCTCTCATCCCTTGATTGGCAATTTCTATTCACTGGATGCAATACTGTTGAAGACCATTACAACATATTTTTACTTGAAGTCAAAAGAGTCATCAAACTATATGTTCCAACAACAACTCCCAAAACAAAACAAAAAAGCAGATTACCCATATCAATAAGGAAACTTCAATCCAAAAAGAGATCACTCTGGCGGAAAAACAAATCTGGTCACGTTGCCAATTTCAAAAGCCGATACAAAAATTTATGCCACCAGATAAAGACCGAATGCACCAATTATCACATTAAACAAGAGGAAAACCTTCTAAGCACCAATTCCACCCGTGCTTTTTACAATTTTGTAAACAACAAACTAAAAGACTCAAGGTCTGTCCCACCCTTGATAGGACCTGATGGTAAAGACTGCAACAACGACACCATTAAAGCCAACATCTTTAACACATTCTTCGGCTCAGTATTTGTAAACAGCAATGGATCATGCCCAGTATTTCCTAGCCGTACCACAGATAACAATAATGATCTAATACATATCGATTTTACAGAAGACAATGTTGAAAAAGCACTACGCAATCTAAAACCATCTCTATCTATTGGACCGGATGGAATATGTGCCTACTTCTTAAAAAAGCTATCCACTGCCATAGCCAAACCTCTAAGCATAATCTTTGAAAAATCTTTCAGGACCAGCTCCTTGCCTAACCTATGGTCACAAGCCACAGTCATCCCCATCTTCAAAAAGGGAGACCCAAGCCTCGTTGAAAATTACAGGCCAATCTCCTTATGCTGCGTCACCTGTAAAGTCATGGAATCAATTATTAACCAATCCATCATCCTCCACTTAGAGACAAACAACCTACTCTCCAATAAACAATTTGGTTTCAGAAAAAAACTATCCTGTAATCTGCAACTCTTACACTGCAAAAACATATGGACGACACAACTCGACCAGGGCAAAGCAATAGACGCAATCTACATAGACTTCTGTAAAGCCTTTGATTCAGTGGTACACGACAAACTACTCCTAAAAATAAAATCCTATGGTATCTCTGGACAACTGAATAACTGGATAGAAGCATTCCTGTCAAACAGACAACAAATGGTCAAAATCGGGAGCGTACTATCAAATCCAGTACCTGTCAATAGTGGTGTTCCCCAAGGCAGTGTTTTAGGACCAACTCTCTTCATACTCTACATAAACGACCTCTGTGATCATATTAAGAGCAATTGCGTTCTCTTCGCTGATGATGTAAAGCTGTTCAATACCACAGACAATACTGCTACCCTACAAAAAGATCTTGACTATGTATCAGAATGGTCAAACAAATGGCAACTTCAAATCTCAACAAATAAATGCTCTGTCTTACATATTGGCAAAAAAAATCAGAAAATAAAATACAAGCTGAATAGTCAAGATCTTGTTGATGACCCAAGCTCTGTAAAGGACCTTGGAATACTCACCTCTAATGATCTAAGTGCTAGAGCCCACTGCAACTACATAGCCAAAAAGGCATTAAGAGTTGTTAACCTAATCCTACGTAGCTTTTTCTCTGGTAATATCACACTACTAACCAGAGCATACAAAACATTTGCTAGACCAATACTCGAATACAGTTCATCAGTCTGGAACCCACACTACGTATCTGATATTAGCACAATTGAGAAAGTCCAGAAATATTTCACAAGAAGAGTTCTCCACTCCTCTACTCGCTGTAGAATACCTTATGCCACCAGACTTGAAATTCTAGAACTAGAAAACCTTGAATTACGCCGTCTTCGGTCTGACTTAAGCATGGTATATAAAATCATACATTGCAATGTCCTACCTGTCAATGAATACTTCAGCTTCAACCATAACAACACAAGAGCACACAATAGATACAAACTCAAAGTAAACCGCACCAAACTTGATTGCAGGAAATACGACTTCAGCAATAGAGTGGTCAATGTCTGGAATACTCTACCCGACTCTGTAGTTTCTTCCCCAAACCCCAAAAACTTTAACCTTAGACTGTCTACTATTGACCTCACCCCTTTCCTAAGAGGTCTGTAGGGGGCGTGCATAAGCGCACCAACGTGCCTACCGTCCCTGTCCTATTGTTTCTCTTATTCTTTTATTTTTCTTATATGTACCCATTTCATGTATTCACAACTATGTATACATTTATACTTATTATCTTGTAAACAATTGGCAAATCAAATAAATAAATAAATAAAATAAAATAAAAAACTCTCTGAGCTGGGTTGTTTCCTTGCAGACGTTTCATGACCCAAAGTAGGTAACATAATAGAATGGAGTGGGGAGGAGGAGGAGGAGAAGGAAGGAAGGAAAGAAGGAAAGAAAAAAGTAAAAGGAAGGGGAAGGGAGGGATGGAAGGAAGGAAG